TAAAACGATTGTTAGAGAAAGGGCAGTCAGCATGGAAAGAAATTCCAAGTTTATTCATTGAACCACATGGTGGAATTGGTCTTCTCTCTCAGTGTAATTATGACATAAAGTATTTTGAAAACTATAAAGCAATTCCCAAATTTTACTTAGCAATGCTTAGAACATGGGCTGAAGTAACCCATCATGATGTCAATAATTGGAATGATGTTAAAGATGAAGTTATATGGAATAATAAAAACATTCTAGTCAATAATAAAATGGTGTACTATAAAACATGGCATCAAGCAGGTATTGCAACAATTTATGACATCCTAGACAGAGATAATAACTATTTATCCCTGACAGAACTTGAACGAAAATTCAACATTCCTATAGACTTTTTAAAGTATGCCAGCATACTCAGTGCTATTCCCAAAAAATGGAAAACTCTTAAAAATTGCATATTGAAAAACAACCCCTCAAAGAAAAATGTTCCTAACCCTAGTCAATTGTCGTGTAAAGCTATTTACAACAAAATCCTTGAAAAAGAAATCGAGAAACCCACATCACTAACAAAGTGGATACAAAATAACAATGTAAATGAAAATGACATGAAATACTATTATACACTTGCAAAAAAGGTTACATATGAAACTAAAATATGGAGCTTTCAGTACAAAATACTTACGAATACACTAGTGTGCAACCGTAAATTAAAAATGATGAACATTTCACAGACAGACAAATGTCCATGGTGTGATGATACTCATACCATGGAGCACATGCTGGTAAAGTGTAGAATAACAAAAGATATATGGAAGCAATTTATTGAATGGTGGAAACTAAAACTAAATAAAGAATTAAATCTAACTGAAAATGATATTTTATTAGGTATTATCGGGAATATAGAAAAAGGTGCAGAACTAAATCTGTGCATATTAATTATGAAATATGTCATATACAAATCTTTTTTAGAAAATGAATTACCTTACTTTTTCAAATTTTCCAATTATCTGAGAATATATTTGAACAGTGTTAAGCTGCTTGATCAAAAGGGTGTAGACATACATGCTTTATATAGACTTTTATGAATACACAAATAAATTCTTATTTTACAAATTTGTGTCATAGTCAATGTATGAATAGTGGGTGAATGAATGCATGCACGAATGTAATGAATGGGTGTGAATGGAGGCAGTAAGATCATGTAATAATTTTTTGTTATTATTACTATTTAAAAATGATTTATATACATAGTACATATATCTATATGAAAGAACTACTTGTATTTAATGAAGCTTGTACTTGAATTGTATTAAATTATTACTTGAATAAAAAAAAAAAAAAAAAAAAAAAATAAAAAAAATCTAGTATTTGAGTTATCAAAAATTACATTTTAAGGAAAATGGCGGCCATTTTGAATTGAGCGACCATATTGAAAATTCCTTCTCGGACAGAGGTCCTACTCCCATAAATCATTTAAGCCTATACAATTTGAATCAAAACCGACAATCGGCATTTGAGTTATCGTCCGGATCTCACGAACTTCGTTCAATAGGATTATATGCTCAAAATTATCATTTTAAATCAAACACATTGCACGTACTTTCAAAGCTAGCATGATTATTTACGTTCCATCATTGATATTTAGGGAACAGAAAAATGAATTGTTACAATTTTGCAACATTATCTATTATTATTCAGCATCCATTTTTCTTGAAAGAGGTTGGACTGTCTTGAATTTCAGGATTCTAAAATAATCATTTTTAAGGTAATATATGTCAAAATATTTGAAATAGGGGATTCCTCTTTCAATTTTAATGAATAAGGAAGTGTTCTAAAGTTTACATCAATACTAATTGTATCTTGATTTTATCATAATCTCGGTTCTTTGTCTCAGGAAATGAAATTAATTGTCGAGGAAACGTTGTCCCGATTTTTGAAGATTACCTCGAATATTCTTTACTCTTTATCCCTTTTAATTCCTTTAATTTTTGAAAGGTTCGACGTTGGTTAACAGCCAAGTTTAAAACGGAATGATATAAATGTTTAAGAATGAAAACATAAACAGCTCTTTTTAAGTTAACTAAGATGAGCGGAAGGGTGTAACTTATTTACCGTCATGTTTTAAATATGTATGGCATATTTGACCTTCCGAACATTCGGCTCTTTTCACATTTATGATGCAGCACACCCGTACTATATCTAAATAATATAGCGGAATTCATAAATGAAAAATGACTTGATTTTTTCTTTGAATATATGACAGCTGAATTGATTGATCGAATATTGCGATCGCTGTCCTGAAATTAAGGTGACTACGATAAACATTTGACTGTCCAAATAACAACACATAAACACTCTATCAAAGTGATCCATTCCATGGCACTAGGTTCGTTGACATTATCAATGAGTATAACTCGTTTCAGTAAAAATGGTGACCTTACCCTACGGAAATGGACATAATGTTTCATAACTAGTTCACCTCGCGATACTATAGCGCACTGACTCTGGGGAAACGGTAGTGCTTTGTATAGAAAACAATTGTATACCTGTGAATAGAATAGTTCAAAACCCTCAACTAAGTAACCTTTGCTAAGGCTTTTTATCCAAAGTTTTACAACAGACTAGATGTAAGTGGAAATAATCTTGATTTACTTCATTATTTAGATATTCAAATTTAGTCATATCATATTTACATGTAAAATTACTCCAAAAATGTGATATAAAAAATTATTGATCAACTTTGAAAATTTAATTTACTTTGAAAATGGGACTTCTACGTGGGGTAGATTCCTCCCTATGACCCCATGTTATAAACTCACATAAAGTGAAAGATCTTTTCTTGTGTTGGACAGATAATAATATTTTATTTTACTGGACATATTATGATTTGTATAGTTATCGGACACATAAGGATAACATGGAAATTGATCTACTAAACTGATGAATATTCAAGTCTAAGGGCACTTTCTACAATGTCTGCCATGTTATTTGACCCGAATCAGTCACCTGTTGGTGAAACTGGTAACAACCTACTGGCCCCAGATGCGAGTAGAAATAATCTTGATTTACGTCATTAAAAATTCACAATTCAGTCAAACCGATGTCATATTTGGAATCTACATGTAAAATTACATTTAGAAATGTGGTTTTGAAAAGAGTTCATCAATTTTGAAAATTTTATTTTCTTTGAAAATGTGACTTCTAGGTCGGGGAGATTCCCCATAGACCCCATGTTGTAAAACCACAAAAAGTGAAATATTTTTTCTTGTGTTGGGCAGATAATTTTTTCTTTTACTGGACATATTTTAATTTTTATAACTATCAGATACATAAGGGTAATATGAAAAGTGAACCACTAAAACTGATGCATATTCAAGTTTAAGGGAATTTTGTGATACCCTGCCATGTTAATTGGATAGGGTGTACATTCGAAATAAAACAGTTGTTTATGCTTATGCGTGGGAAATACCATGATAATTTCTTCATTTTGAACCGTACAACATGTGTTGTAAGAAAGAAGTTGCCAGGCCTTGCAGAATATAATTTATACAACAAGGAATAATCAGTAGTAAATTACCCTGCGTGCAGAGTCTAGTTAAACTACACTCTGCCTAGTAGAGACCATATTACAGATTAGTAGCCCTGCCCCCACGACGGGTCCCGGTGACAGTTTGGGTAATAAATCACTTTTGACCTACGCGCTGACCTTTCTTCCATCAATCAGCGAGCTTGAAGAAACATACGCCAAATGCGTTCTAATTAAATATGCGCATGTCATTGGTCAATTCCGGGCTCAACGATGACGTCAGAAGGAATGACCATATATAGAACGTCGGTCAAATTTGGCCGACGAACAATGATTGGCGCGGTGAGTTCACAGGTTTATTTTAGTTTGAAAGAGTGAAGACGAAGCTCTCTTTTAAGAAGTGAAGTCAAACGAATGCAAAGGGTAGTAGTAAATTGTAGTATTAGTACCAACAGAAAGTTCTAAAAAGCAACCCCAATGTCCTGTTTAAGAACACCTATTCTTACTATTGAAAATGGATTCTAGCAATACTATTCAATATGAATCCAATTGTTGAGACTCGATCAACTTGCGTTCTTCTGAGAAAATGAGGATTTCAGCAAGGGTGCATTGACTTAACATGGGACTGACTATTGTACATTTTACAACTGAAAGGTCCATGTGCACTGTGCAGTATGGCAAGTGGTTTTAGACCGTCTTATCTTTCACCAGGAGTATTTTCTGGGTATAAATACAGTGGTTTTTATTAAAACAATATGTTTTCTTTAAAGATGTAAGGCTTATTTTCTAAAAAGAGGATCTTGTTTTTCTCAATTTAAATGTCTCAAAAATGTTTTCTACACTATATTAATAACTTCTGAAAAGGGGATGGGTATTGGAATCCGATAAAGTTGTTAAAAACCACATTTCCCATGTTATTTTCCCATAGTGTTTTCAGTATGATTTTGGTCATCGAAAATTGATTTTTCAAAACTAGACTTTCAATATCATTCTATTTTTGAAGATGTTTTAGACCCCTTGTTGAATAATGTTTTCATGCAATAAAAATCAGAAAAAGAAGATCCTCTTTTGAGCAAATAAGTTCAACATTTTGAAAAAATTGTTGCCGTGGGGTCCCTATTTATAATTTTTCGAATTTTCGATTGATATTTTTATCATCATGGGGACTTCACTTGAAAGAAAACATATTGTTTCGATAAAACCACTGTATTTATGCCCAGAAAGTACTCATGGTGAAAGATATGACCGTCTAAAATAACTTGCCATACTGCACATGGACCTTTTACAATAAGTTCTAATGATTTATATAGCTATATTAATTATAGTTATATAAATAATAAAATATAGTAATTCGTTGTGATTCAAGTTTAACACATCTTACATTGTATACTTATTACCATCAAACAAAATCTGATCACTGGTTTTTGAGTTGTTACCAGGACGGACTCGACGTTTTTTGGGGATGTACAAAATATAAAGCAATTCTTACACAGAGCTAGTACAACTGCCGCCAACATCACCGATAGAATCAACGTGCAACATAAAACGATGTAGCGTCTGTATTTTCTGTACGGTTTTTGTTTCACCTTCTCTTCTTTGATGAGAACTGTGTCGGATTTCGCAGAAGTCAGGTAGCTTGTAACTTCTTCTGATCCCTCGCTAGATGGCGCCTGAAATTCAGATAAAAAGAACCAATTGAAAAGTGTTCATGTCACATAAAATGTAAAAAAATCAAGTCAAAATTATGATCTGCATTTTGGAGGATGCTCTTGGGTCTCTTGGCAGAAATAATCTGCAACTTATTAAGAGTCAAAATTATGATGCATTTTGGAGGATGCTCTTGGGTCTCTTGGCAGAAATAATCTGCAACTTATTAAGAGTCAAAATTATGATGCATTTTGGAGGATGCTCTTGGGTCTCTTGGCAGAAATGATCTGCAACTTATTAAATCACTATTATGTACAATCTTGTTTAAATTGTACTGTGTACCGTATAATGATCTACTGTAATCGTAATACTGCTAACCTGAAATAAAAACTCATGAAAAAGTGTCCATGTAACTTTCTCAAATTTAGAAAATGATAATTAAAATCAGTATTATCGATACGGCACCACGCACAGTCTTGCCTTGTCTTACTATTAATAGGTACAGTATCATCTCATTTTTACCAGTTCAATTAATGTGCATATGAAAAATGGACAGTACTTCTCGCCCTACTTGCTCCAGTCTATTTTGAACAACAACTCACCTTGCTCGTCTTTCCATAGACAATCTTAAATGGAATATCCGATGGATGGTGACTACCTGGGGTATTTCTGGAGGCATGAGCCAAAGTTGGATATTCCGTCGTCACTGGCACGATGTTCATTTTGTACCTTTTAAATGCGATATCCTGTTATACCAGATAAGCTAATCCCTGTGTTTTTACATGACTCGTTTATTTTGATTTAATATCCGTAGTTTTAAATTATTTAATTCACCTACTTTGAAATTAAAGAACGTGACGTTTTAAGTGAAACGTAAATTACATGTATGTTCACCTCCACATTCTAATTTAACTACATATAATAAGTGTTTTTGTATTTAAGCACAATTCAAAATCTGTTTATCGTACATCTCAAATCGTGATCATTGTCCGGTCTCGTTTTTAGCTCACATGGTGAGCTATTGCAATCACTCACTTGTCCGTCTGTCTGTCTGTATGTCCGTATGTCTGTCCGTCTGTCAACAATTGGCCTGTTTTAAAACCTCCATCAACAGGATTCCCGTTTTAAGTTATTTTTGTTAAGCATCAATATAGACAAAAACTTGACTCCTGGTTCAAAAGCTCGCCCATATTCAAAATTGTCGCCATTTTCGTCTCGCGAAATTCACTTTTGGCCAATTTCTTAGCTTTACAAATAATTTCAGGTCTCCTGCATTGTAATAAGCCATGTTACTGTAAAGAGTAGTTGAATGAAATAATTTTGTTATAAAAATATCGGCAAAAATTTTTATCCGTTTTTTATTTTCAGCCATTTTAGTTAACATTGATTTGTCCATCCATCTCGCGAAATCCACCCTTGGACCATTTGCCTTAAAACCTCTGTCAATAGGATTCCCGTTTTAAGTTATTTTGTTCAACATCAATCAAGGAGGATTGGCTCCCAGAGTGCAACATCGATATTCTGTCCCATATATGGGCATGTCGTGCTACAAAATTTGAATTCCAACAGCCGCCATTTTGTTCACTTCAACATTTGAATCGTAAATTTTGGTCTTATTTCCTAACGAAAAATTCCAAAACTCACAGGAAATGATTGAGATATTGGTTCGAATCTTTTGAACTGTTTATTTTGAATTTATAATCGGTTATAATTTCAGAAAATAACGACATCTCGGCGTTTTCATTGTTGGAAAATATCGACTTCGATTCTGGGAGCCAATCCTCCTTGACATCAATGTAGAAAACTCCCCTATGAATCCTGGTTCAAAAGCTTGCCTATTTTCAAAATGGTCGAAATTTTTGTCTTGCGAAATTCACTTGTGGTCCATTCCTAGCTTTACATATAATTTTAGGTGTCCTGCATTGTAAAAAGTCATGTCACTGTAAAGAGTAGTTGTATGAAATAATTTTGTTACAAAAAATCGGCAAAAATTACATCCATTTTATTTTCTGCCATTTTAGCCATCATTCACTTTTGAGCAACACCATGTGAGCCCAGTACCCACGGTACTATTTATTCATGTTAATGGGCGTTTTACTAAATTTGAAACTAATGTTCAATCACTCAAATATATTTTTAAATATATTTTTATGACTATGAAATTGTTTTTTGGAAATAATTGCCTTTAAAAGAAGTAATGGAGTCGATATTTTAATATCTTATTTTCAGGTCTATACGACCTTAAGTGTGATATTCTTATGTATAGATGCCGATTATGGTTATGGTTTTCTAAGGATTAGTTCTCCCATTTGTATAGTTGGAAAAGTGAATTGAGAGCGGGACAGTAATCTCCGGGGATCGAAATATTACACGCCCATGTAGGTTCTCTTAAAAAGTGTAAGTTAACCTCCCCAATATCATACTTATTGACGTAAAGAGCTGAGCAGAAAATGATGGATCAAACCTTACTATTACGTGGCCTTCACCTCAAGTTATCTTTCATTTGGAGACGTCATCATCGCCACTAACCCTGGTTAGTTCACACAGGACTAAAATACCCATCGCCGACAAGTGAAATCAGCTTCAATAATGAAAGTATCATAATATTATGACAATTTTTCTATTTTTCTCACGGTTTTAGCGAATGCAAACAAAGGCGGTTGGGTCGCTAAGGCTTTTTAACTCTATTATCCACATATACGTATTTCACTGGGGAGTATCGTGATGCAACAACACCGTGTTGTTGCATCAAGATGGCCAGACTTCCGGTGATAGATTTTCGTACGATATTTTGTTTCCCCAATTAAACCCATTTCTAGGACGAGTTGCTCAATAACCATACACGTGCAGTTAGCGCACGATCTATATTTAAAGAAACTGTCATTAGTATACATGTACCATCACCAAGAAGCAATAAGTTCACGGTTTTAGTTCCTCACTATTGATGCAACAACACCAAACCGAAGATGCAACAACACTCCTCTAGATTTAAGGAATGATGCAGCAACACCAATTAATAGTATAATTTCAGAAGACCATAAATCTCGAGTGGAACAGATTTTTGCGTTCTTCTCAAGGCATTAAAAATACACTTCCTGCGGGCGAAGATCATTTATATGTGTTTTCAAAAAATTTATACTTTTAAACATTATAACGTTCTGGACGTTGTTCTATAACATAGTTCAATCGCCTTTAACATGGCAAGCTTTAGTAACCCAATCTATTTTCATAAACCATAGCTTGATGACCCTGACTCCAGTTAGTATCATTCAAAATGGTGGACAAACATCTTTCGTTCTCGGTAAATATGATGAGCTATTGGAAATTATCTGTCATCCATCTGTGGAACAGTGATAAACTAGTAGATTTACGTTACCACTGTTTATCAAATTATAACTAAAACAGTTTAACTGTGACATTCGTGAGCTTATGTTGATGGGATGATTGTTTCATCTATGATATAATATGATATGATTCTTTATTTCCTCCAATTTGGAGAGCCAACGTGTAAAAACGTCTAATTGACTTTATTAGAGAAGCCGTTTAGTTACACGTTTAATGGAAATCTTGAACGACGCACATGTAGAATTATTGCTCTCTTTGGATTCCTTCTCTTTGGCCCAAAAAGGTAAATTGATAGGGGTACAGTTATCCCAGATATCCCGGGCCCTCGGGAATATCATATTGTCTCTCGGAATAAAACCAATATTGAATCCCTCTCAGTAAATAACCTTTATATAATAGCATTGTATAACTGCAATATCATTAAACCAATACTCATCCTATACATCTCTTGAGAACGATGTACAACTCCTGGATAGCGTAAACTCCTGAGCAGCGTATACAACTCTTCTACTTGATATATGACATCATACTTTGGGTGGGATAACAAAGGATATACAATATACAATTGTAGACCTCTCTTGAGGTCAACTGGCATAATTGTATACCGATACTGTAATCCTTGAAAGTTCGGAGGTCGAGGTCAACAGTACTCTCAGGGTTTACTGTTGAGGTATACACTTTGGCCAGTTGACCGAATAGAGAGGTTAACAATTGTTTGTTAGTCCGAAGAATATAATAATTTGAAAGAAATAATATACAATTGTAGACCTCTCTTAAGGTCAACTGGCAAAATTGTATACCGATACTGTAAACCTTGAAAGTACTGTTGATCAAGACCAGAGTCGAGGTCGAGGACACTTGTCAGTTGACCGAAAAGAGAGGTTAACAATTGTTCTGTTAGTCCAAATAATATAATAATTGGACGAATATATAATCGAATATCACGTGAACATATTTTATAAGTAAAGGTATCATATTCTAGCAAAAAATCCCAAAACCGTCGAATACTTGTAATTTTTGCACAACTTATTTTTTCAAAATTAAAAAAATTTCAACATTAAAAAACAATTTTTCAAAAATAGGGGTCAACAGTACCTAGTAGTGGTCAACAGTTTACAATTGTTGACCTCCCCAGAGGTCAACCGGCAAAATTGTATACCGAGACTGTAAACCGAAAAACTACTGTTGACAGAGACTGAAGGTCGAGGTCAACAGTAGTTTCAAGGTTTACAGTCGAGGTATATGATTTTGACGGTTGATCGAATGGAGAGGTCTACAATTGTTTTGTTAGTCCGAGTAAACTAATAATACACATATAGACAATCATCAATCGGCATGGCTTCATTTCACAACCTTTTCTCCGAACCACGTTAGCAATATTTTTTTTTAGAAAATCTGGAGACAGTGCAAGTAGCTTAACTCTGTATTTGGCACATCACGGCGTACTCGTTGGTGAATTAATGTTAATTTTAAGTTTCTATTTGTATTTTTGCTATACTTGTCGCCTAGTAAAGTCATTCTCATCCAATAATCACCCAATCAGAATCGAGTATTTCAGTTGAGGTACTAACAATACATTTTGTTGACCGCTCATCAACCAATCAGAATTGAGTATTTCAATTGAGGTACTAACAACACAAAATGACTGATATCTGTTGTCTTTCCAAAATTATATTAGTTATTTAATTTATTTGTAAACAATTTCCATACGGTAAATCAAGGGCATTTAATTTAGAAAATGTATAATCTTTATTTTTCAGATACAATATCAATGAGATTGCCTCCCGGGGATTCAGTACTTTATTTAGTTTGCCTTGTATCCTTTTAACTTTGATATAGACAAAGAAACCAAACAAAATACGCTTCGTTCATGGACCACTGACTCACGCGTTTTATTCATGTCCCGACCTACACCTGTAAACAGAACATAAAACAGTTTCTCTTGTTGTTCAATGATACATTATATTGGCGTTTTTGCATCAGCACATTGGTGTTGTTGCATCATCGATAAGAAACAGAGTGGTGTTGTTGCATCAATAGTGAGGAATTAAAACCACGAATTTATCGCTTCTTGATGATGCTACATGTATACCAATGACAGTTTTTTAAAATACAGATCATAACCTAACTGCATGTGTATGATTATTGAGCAACTCGTCCTAGAAATGGGTGTAAATTGGGAAAACAAAACATCGTACGAAAATCTATCACCGGAAGTCTGGCCATCTTGATGCAACAACACGTGGTGTTGTTGCATCACGATACCCCCCAGTGGTATTTGTTGTCTGTAAAAAATACATCCATTTCCCTAGAGAATGACGTGCCATACAGATTCGCTCTCTGAACTTGCTGTGAAACATAATCTCAATTTCAGTAGGATAAGGTCACAAATTTTACTGAAAGGATCAGTTATAATCCTAAGTAATGTAAGCACCATAGAGTCTGGGCCGATATAAAGATGGCAGCACCAACAGAATCCAGTATTATCTTTTTCTGAAACATAGATAAACACAGGTCTATTACCATGCCATCTTTATTTAAAAATGATTTCTATCGCCCTTAGCCTATGGTAAGCACGCTGAGTAATAAGGATCGATCATACACATAGGTCATTCTGATACTCATAGCATCTCTCTCTGTTGCATCGCAGCGCTATCCAGAAGGATAGAGATGGAGAGGGCGTGGATTACCACGATGCACACAGGTTGATAACTCTTATTCTCAAACTGGGCAAAAGGTTTGCTAATTTAAGTAAGATTCCACGTCATCATCAAATCATCATTCTAATTTTTTACACATCTCGTCCAAGACCCTTTGAAAAAAACAAAAGAAAAAAAGGAAATATGACGAACGCGTAACAGTAATTAGTCGGATTTTTACCCTTTGTAAATAACGTCAGTTTGATCTGAGACTAACATAAAATTTATGTTGGTCTCAGGTTTGATCATGAATGGAGATCGGGTTAATTCAAAACCTACTCAGCAAAATTAGCCAATTATTGGCTTGTTTGGCCCGACGTCTCATAATTACCATATATCATTAACTCAAAAACACCTAGGTGTAACAATGTCCTCGAACATACGAGTCTAATGTACAATTTTTACAAATCTATTTATCAAAAAGGGTCAGGAGGCTAGATTTTCACGTGTACTTGAAGAAATGATAGCAATTGCATTTTATGATTTTGTAAATAGTCTAGTTAGTATCGAGTCAGTGTGTTTTCAAGAGGGCGAATTAATATCTCAAAAACAAATGCATGTGACAAACATTGATCCAAAATATTGGATCATCCATGAAAATATTTCGAACACGATTATTCTCACTAATTGGACTGTACAATTGGATTCAACTTTCTTCTGAGTTCAAAGTATAAATCTCTGACTGAAATAAAACCCAATGCTTATGAACACTGAAAATTGATTTCAATTCAAAAGTAAAATGTTATAATAATCGAATTCGCTCTTGTTCTTCTGTGGCATATGACATTTTAGAAGGCGTAATTACGCGAAGTAGCCAATTACACATTTGCGCGCGGTGATTGTCGTTGTTTGTAATTAGTAATTCCAAACAAATGGTTTAGAAAATAAGATTATTATTAGGCACGTTCGAGTTCATTCAAGCAAAAAAGTAGAACAAATATTACATTTTTGAGCAGTTTAGACACCTGAGCAGTTTGGCCGGGTGGGTTAGACTGTCGTCGAATGTACCGGGGGATACGGAGGTCCCGCGTTCGAGCCCCAGGTACGGAGTTGTTGATCATTGTCACTACGGACACCCGGTCCGAAGGTCCAACCGTATACCGGCCCTTGGCATGGGTTGGTTCTCTGGCCGCTCTTGTCGGAGACAGATTGTGAGACTGTGGTTGGTTCCTCCACTAACGTGCTTTGGTAGACTTCGGGAGTCATACAGTATGGTAGCGAGCCCCCACCGAGGGCAGTAGTGGAACGACGCGATTCGGTCCCAGTATGGTTGCTATGCAACTGAAGAGACTCGAGGAAATCATGCCATTCGCAGTAACCCAGAAAAGACTTTTGCTTTATGATACAACTTTTTTAATTCAAATAAAAGCATGCTGCGGGACTCCTTTTGAGAAATATTCCTCTATGATAAGTTGTAACTTTTATCAATCTTTTATACAATTATGCATAATTTCATCACGTAACATCATCATGTTCTAGCTTCTATTGTCATCATTGAACTAAGCTCGTATTTTAATGGTGTTTTATAAGTATAACTTTACGTTCATATTTCCGACGAATACTAATAAAGTAATTTACATTCGTATTTTACATAGCCGCCATGAATAATGGAAATAATTTTTCAAGCGCTCTGTGTTTCTTTTAGCGCTCCATGATGAGGCAGACGAGGGAGACACTTGCCTCATAGCTTAGAAATATGTTTCACCTTTTTCACGCCACTGGTAATCATTTGCGGTGGCGACATAATAGTTACTATAATTACGAGGGGTGATCAATAAGTAATGGACGCTTTTTTACACAGACACTTCTATCTCTTTGATCATATATCTAGGGGATTGAGGTAAATTCTGATTCCATACGATTTGGATATTTCAAAAGGTTTCAAATTATTTTGTTCTATTTGAAGAATGAGCACAAAGTTTCCATAGTAAAAAGAGAGATCTATTAAAAAAGGCGCAAGGCCATCAACAGGCACAAATCAACGTTTTTGCTATAAATCAAGCAACAATGGACTACACGACCTGTAATAAATACTTGTAAGTGATGTTATCATAACTAAATTAAAGTCATTGCTGAATTTATAAAATAAGTTTCCATACGTAAAATAAAAAATAATCGAAAATAATTAAAATGGGACGGAGGGGGGGGGGGAGGGGACGGAGGGGGGGGGAGTAATAATTCTATAAAGTGAAACAACTTCACACGAATTCTTGTATTTGAAAAATGAACTCATTAACTTAGTAAGAAACTGGATGATATACCCCTGGAGACTGAAAAATGGGGACATTTGGAGTAAAAGGACTTAAAGTCGCGAAACATCTCTAATCATGTCTTATATACATATTGCTCCCCACCTCCGTCCCCTCCCCCCCTCCGTCCCAAATTCATTATTTTCGATTATTTTTTATTTCACATATGGTAACTTATTTTATAAATTCAACAATGACATTAATTTAGTTATGATAACATCACTTACAAGTATTTATTACAGGTCGTCCAGACCATTGTTGCTTGATTTATAGCAAAAATGTTGATTTGTGCCTGTTGATGGCCTTGCGCCTTTTTTTAATATATCTCATACCTTAGATGCGTATCGTTTCAGAAAAAATCCCAGAAAACCTAACATATTCTATCATACCGTGCGCCTATCCATTTAGCAATTCAATAGTAAACTTTTTCTTGAAAAAATAAATCTTCCAGATTTGTTGAATTTCCTAGCAGAAATTGCCTGCCCCATATTCACGATCACCGGGTGTGATTATAGGGATTAAGGTATTCTTTCGTGTTTATGAACTACCCATCTCACAGAAAAACAAAATAAAAAACGGATATAAATATTCCAATGTATATATTTTGCTCACATACAAAATAATCTTTACATTCTCGTAGAAATTGCTCGAATAATAGTACATATAGGTAACTTGATAACAATAGTATAATCATATACATCGCACATGTTTTTCATGGTTTTGCAGAGACGTTACACACTGATCAAGTAAAAGCCATGCCATTCACAAACGTATTGATTAAGGGATGTACTTCATAGACATTCCCTTTTCAATTAAAACGTGCCAATTGGGATAATGATAGGTCAATATCTCAATTTCTGAAAATGTACACACATATCAATTCCTGTATTTGTACACATCCGAAATCCTAGATGTGCTTATATACCACATCTGATAAATGTATGTTTTCCATACCTCCTGAGGTTCTAGCAAACTCAATTTTCATTTTGCTCAATTTACGAAATAACGATCATTATATTGCAAACTTATGCTGTATATTTTAGATTTCAATATCAATTCATTGTTCTGGTCCAGCATAGCAATGTATGAGAGAAAATTTTACAAACTTAAAAACTATTTAAGAGAGTGCGTACCTTCGTACGTTTTTGAGTTCTGGAACTTTACAAGGTATAATGTACCTGGAACCTCAGTAGGTATGGAATACATCTATTACATACGGGCATAGTGCATAACCCTTATGTATTCATAATTCCTTCTCAGCCTGCTGCCCAAATAATAAAACTTCATTGTTTTAAAAAATGAATCAAAAATGTATCCAAAAGCTGAGTTAATGAAAAATGAAGTAAATTCAATTATGGTTTAACCCCCCCCCCCCCCCCCCCATCCCATTTAAAACAATTTAAAAAAAATTCCATATTGAAAGTTATTTACCAACTCCCAAAAGAGAACATACTTGTTTCCCAGTTTGATTTTCAATGAAAATATGAAAAAATTAAACATCATACCTTGGAAATCCAAGATGAAAAGGGAACTTTACTTCATTTATCCAAAGTAACACGTGGACACAATCCTTATTGCATTATACGTAAGTCAATAAGCTGTGTCTTAATTGCTATGGGAAATGTGTAACAACATAGGCACTATGTCATCACTACAGTAAAACCTGTAAAATGGAACACCTCTAGAAGTAGAACACCTCTGTGAGTGGAACACTTCAGAGTCTCAAGACCAAATGACTTAATGTTAAATGAACCTCTAGAAGTTGAACACCTCTGTGAGTGGAACACTTCAGAGTCTCAAGACCAACTGACTTAATGTTAAATGAACCTTTATGAGTGGAACATCTCCCAGGTTGAAAACTTTTTAGAGGTTCCAAGGGTGTTTCACTTAAACAGGTTTTACTGTATATGTATTAGCTGCCAATAAAGCTTGCTAAACTTCTGTTACAAAAATACTGGCAAATAAAAAATGACGCTTAATATAATTCCCAAATTTCATCAGTCTTGATGAAAACGGACACCTCTTGTTCAACTAGTTTGATAAGTACATATTTTAAATGTACTTTACAAATTGTAAATGTACTTTACACATTGCAAGAGTACAATTATCCAGTACATGTATTGTAATGTACTTAACTGTACATGTACCTTACACAATGCAAATGTAATATTATTCATTATTGTAAATGTACTTTACACATTGTAAATATACTAGAAAAGGAGTCAAAGGCAAAATAACAATTGTATAAAAATCTGGCATTTTTGTATTGGCTAATCCATCTTCACGGTTGGTCAATTATATGAAGCAGTTTGGAGCATTACTATGACATTAAAGAGTAAAAAAAGTCTCATGATCCAAGTTGTAAGTCATGGATTTCATAAACAATAACATGCTGTCTAAAAATGCTGATATTTTGGCTAATAATTTTCGCCAATCAAGATAGTTTGACAAAATTAAGTTGGTTAAAATCTCACGGCAATAGGTGCATAAATGCATCTCTGCTTTTCTAAATGCTCGTACTACACGAGTCACTCAGTGAATCATTGTCCGTGCTACTTTAGCTCAGTCACTCAGTGAAACAATGACATAGACACATAATGTCACATGCTACTATGCCACTCTCAGTGAAACATTGTCACATGCTACTATGCCTCACCACATGATTCACTCAATGAAACACTGTCACATGTTCTTTCACCGAGTGAAATATTGAAACATAATGTCAAATGCTACTATGCCTCATTGAGTGAAATATTGTTAAGTGCTACTATGCCTCACCACACGAGTCACTCTGCGAAACATTGTCACACACCACATATTGTTCAGATCCAAAACTATATGTGGACAGTCGTTTACTATCAGTTTCTTGTTTTAACAATGTAATAGATTTATGCTGCAGTCGAGAGTGTGTGTCTAATAATTTAACATTATGTCTTGTTAGATTGCCTCTTTGTGATGAATCTCTATGTGATGTGTCTCCATGTGATGTGTCTCCATGTGATGTGTCTCCATGGGATGTGTCTCCATGTGATGTGTCTTTTGAATCAGGTACTTGATTGTCAGATGCAATACAATGTTCTGTACTAGATACTATACTAGATACAATATCTGATGCTATACTGGACACACTATCAGCTGGCTGAATCCCCTGAGCAGAGTTTGAAGTTCTAGAGTTTTTGTCAGTTTCAGTCCGATGAAAATGAAGATCTTTTAACCCTTCAGTTTTCCTTTTAAAGTCAACATTAACATTCTTTAGCTTGCATGTAGAATTTGATTGAAATGCTACAATATTTGAACTTTGTTGATCTAGGAATAAAAACTTTGAATCCTCCTTAATGCTGTCAATTAAGCCTTCAGGTTTCACATGTAAGCTTACAGGTTTCACATATAAGCCTTCAGGTTTCACATGTAAGCTTTCAGGTTTCACATGTAAGCTTACAGGTTTCACATGTAAGCCTTCAGGTTTCACATGTAAGCTTTCAGGTTTCACATGTAAGCTTTCAGGTTTCACATGTAAGCTTACAGGTTTCACATGTAAGCCTTCAGGTTTCACATGTAAGCTTACAGGTTTCACATGTAAGCCTTCAGGTTTCACATGTAAGCTTTCAGGTTTCACATGTAAGCTTTCAGGTTTCACATGTAAGCTTTCAGGTTTCACATTCAAAGGACCTGGATTTAGGCACAGCTGTTCTTGTAACACTTCCACTTCACAATCGCTATCATGGTTGTTATCCAGCAGAGATTTACTCGCGTCATCCTCTTCCGATGAACTATTTGTGGAGAACTGATCGAGAAATTTAAATTCTGACACAGCCTGTTGCTCCTGGTGACCATAGCGAGTGAAGAACTGATGAAAGTTGACTATTCTATGCTCCCTGTGTCTCTGGTGGACTACTTGTTTCCCTGAAATTAGGAAAATGATAATGTTTTTTTAATCAACGAACCAAATCAGAAGATAATCATTATTTTTGCACTGGAGTTACGACAAGTTAATCACATTTGAAGGGAATTTGAAGAAACAATAAGAAAATGACAATAATTGTTATTAGAGAAAACTAGGTCAGTGTTGACATCATCCTCATAAACAATGCTAAATACAGGGTGTTCAAAAAAATGCAACCCAAAGAAATCGCTATATCTTGAAAAATACTAGTTCAATTATGTTCATGTTTTCAGGAAAGAAAGAAGAGACTGTGTATGTACATAGCTCCTGTGGACACTTGCTCAAAAGACATTTGTACTAGGAAAATATGAAAACCGTGAATGGAAAATCACTAACTAACAACAGGAGCTACACATACACAGTCTCTCCTTTCTTTCCTGAAAATATGAACACAATTGGATTAGTATTTTGCAAACTGCCATTGTGATACTGATGTTTTGTAAAGCCTGAAGAACGCATATGATGTGAAGCTATGTTTCTATTTTCCTCACCATTTACACCTTTCCTGAGTTTCTCTATAATGTATCCTTCAATCTCATGTTCAGCCTCGCTATCATCATCGCTATCTTGCTCATTGTCAGCATCATTATCAACCACACTGTCCAAAGCAGCCTCACGACTCTAAAATATTATACAAGTCATATATTACGCTAATTGCTTTACAACTTCAATGTAATGTGTGTTACGTTACACTATAAGAAATGTATTTTTACATTGACATAATGGACCAGTAACTGTTGCAATCCAACTGTCTTATATCTGATGATAACATCAGCTGGCATCCCATAAGTAATCTGGCAAATATAAGTAGATCAGCTCTAAGATAAACCCCTGGTAACCGTCTCAGATCAACAAAGTTCTTGCATTCAAAATTTACCTTAACATCCAAGTACGAGGTCCCCACTGTAGTAGTGCTGTTTGAACTGTAACTGCTATCCTCGTCTGACCTCAGAGGCACTTCATTCTTGGGGACTACTTTCTTGGCCGATTCACCACCCAAATTGCTCCAAGCTTCTGGTGTCATCCAACTGAAGTCGCCATCAGCTTCAGTACAAGTTTCATTGTCTTTGTGGACAGTCTCTGAATTATCACTATCCTGTTTTATCTCTGCCAAGCTGTCTAAGCTTTGTTGGAGTTCTTTTACAGTCTGTGACAGATCAGCTATCTGGTATGATCCTACTGGATCAGAAGGTGTGATGTCATCACGCTCTCCAAGAGACATAGTCTCTTTACATTGTTCCGAAATTGCGAAATTATGAGAGGCACTGAAAATGTCATCCTGAGCATTTCTAGTCACTTGGTCTCTCTCTATTTTTTTAGGAGAGGGTTCTAGTGGAGTAATTGAAATATTGTTACATTCCTTACATAACACTTCAATCTCATGTTCAAATTTTTCAAGAGTTGCTTGAACACCTAAATCATGGCCTGCATCACAAAAGGCAGCACTTCGTGACATTGGATCAACATTTGATGAAGTGTTGTCTCGATCTGTGATGCCAAGGCCAGGAGCGGAAAGATGGCGCCTGTGGGGTATTCGTGATGTGTGTTTCTTTATATCTTCCTTTGAAAACTGTAGAAACCATTGTTCGCTGGATGTTCTTTCATCCGTTGGGGTCTGGACCAATGGTGATGGAGGAATATACTGAAGTAAATCAGAAAATCTTATTGAATGTGGTGCTTTTATATATTTCAAAAATTAGTTACCATCATTCCTATCAAATGTTGCTTAGTACAGAGATATGTATGTCAAAAAACTGAAAACAAGGGATTAACATGCAAAATGTCACCACCTACCATTTGTTACAGACACTGAACACCGTCCACAAAAAATTGCAAACATGATCAGATTACCTTTCTAATTTCCTCTGCAGTTTGCCTTGGATTCCAATCTGGTAGTTCCACATTGATTTTCTCACGATGACGCCATTTTGACAGGAAGTCTACAGGGGGAGAATCAGCCTCACTATCAGTGTCGCTGCTTGAAAGAAATGAGTCCTGAAATATAGAATTTGAAAATACTATGTCACGAGGGATGAGAATTTGGAAAATGTAAAGTATGATACAGTCAAAACCATTTTGAAATTCTGACAATTTTCTGACAAAATTCTGACAGTTTTCAATTTCAACACAATTTTTACTGACAACAAACAATGTGGCATGAAAATCAAATTCAACACTGCTTTCAAAAATACCATTGGGTGGAGCATGGTTCCAAACTCAGTCACCTGACTACCACTTGCAACCAGTTTTCATTCAAGGCAATGGAATTGAAAAAATCGTTGCATATTGGGCAATGGACTAAATGTCAATATGGTAAATTGTGGCGATCATGTTTTTTTTAACTTTAGTTGTGAACCCTGAGTGAGAGACATCACAACATTTCTTAATTCAAATATCAAAGTCACTGGGGGGTATCGTGATGCAACAACACCGTGTTGTTGCATCAAGATGGCCAGACTTCCGGTGATCGATTTTCGTACGATGTTTTGTTTTCCCAATTTACACCCATTTCTAGGACGAGTTGCTCAATAATCATACACATGCAGTTAGCACATGATCTATATTTTAAAAAACTGTCATTGGTATACATGTAGCATCATCAAGAAGCGATAAATTCGTGGTTTTAATTCCTCACTATTGATGCAACAACACCACTCTGTTTCTTATCGATGATGCAACAACACCAATGTGCTGATGCAAAAACGCCAATATAATGTATCATTGAACAACAAGAGAAACTGTTTTATATTCTGTTTACAGGTGTAGGTCGGGACATGAATAAAACGCGTGAGTCAGTGGTCCATGAACGAAACGTATTTTGTTTGGTCTCTTTGTCTATATCAAAGTTAAAAGGATATACAAGACAAACTAAATAAAGTACAGAATCCCCGGGAGGCAATCTCATTGATATTGTATCTGAAAAATAAAGACTATACATTTTCTAAATTAAATGCCCTTGATTTACCGTATGGAAATTGCTTACAAATAACTAATATAATTTTGGAAAGACAACAGATATCAGTCATTTTGTGTTGTTAGTACCTCAATTGAAATACTCAGTTCTGATTGGTTGATGAGCGGTCAACAAAATGTATTGTTAGTACCTCAACTGAAATACTCGATTCTGATTGGGTGATTAGCGGTCAAAATTATGTACTGTTGACCGCTACTAGGTACTGTTGACCGCTACTTCTGAAAAAAAGTTTCATGACGTCACAAAAAAACATGGAAGACGGACATTTTGTAAACGTTAATGAAAATGACTTTACTAGGCGACAAGTATAGCAAAAATACAACTAACGAGTACGCCGTGATGTGCCAAATACAGAGTTAAGCTACTTGCACTGTATCCAGATTTTCTAAAAAAATATTGCAAACGTGGTTCGGAGAAAAGTTTGTTAAATGAAGCCATGCCGATTAATGATTGTCGTCTATATGTGTATTATTAGTTTACTCCGACTAACAAAACAATTGTAGACCTCTCCATTCGACCAACCGTCAAAATCATATACCTCGACTGTAAACCTTGACCTTCGGTCTCTGTCAACAGTAGTTTTTCGGTTTACAGTCTCGGTATACAATTTTGCCGGTTGACCTCTGGGGAAGTCAACAATTGTAAACTGTTGACCACTACTAGGTACTGTTGACCCCTATTTTTGAAAAATTGTTTTTTAATGTTGAAATTTTTTTAATTTTGAAAAAATAAGTTGTGTAAAAAATTACAAGTATTCGACGGTTTGGGGATTTTTTGCTAAAATATGATACCTTTACTTATCAAATATGTTCACGTGATATTCAATTATATATTCGTCCAATTATTATATTATTTGGACTAACAGAACAATTGTTCAGTAAACCCTGAGAGTACTGTTGACCTCGACCTTCGAACTTTCAAGGATTACAGTATCGGTATACAATTTTGCCAGTTGACCTCAAGAGAGGTCTACAATTGTATATTGTATATCCTTTGTTATCCCACCCAAAGTATGATGTCATATATCAAGTTGAAGAGTTGTATACGCTGCTCAGGAGTTTACGCTATCCAGGAGTTGTACATAGTTCTCAAGAATTGTATAGGATGAGTGTTGGTTTAATGATATTGCAGATAAACAATGCTATTATATAAAGGTTATTTACTGAGAGGGATTCAATATTGGTTTTATTCCGAGAGACAATATGATATTTCCCGAGGGCCCGGGATATCTGGAATAACTGTACCCCTATCAATTTACCTTTTTGGCCCCTTAATCTTATCACTTTTGTTTACCTTTTTACACAGTCGGAGAGAAGGAATCCAAAGAGATCAATAATTCTACATGTGCGTCGTGCAAGATTTCCATTAAACGTGTAACTAAACGGCCTCTCTAATAAAGTCAATTAGACGTTTTTACACGTTGGCTCTCCAAATTGGAGGAAATACAGAATCATATCATATTATATCATAGATGAAGCAATCATCCCATCAACATAAGCTCACGAATGTCACAGTTAAACTGTTTTAGTTATAATTTGATAAACAGTGGTAACGTACATCTACTAGTTTATCACTGTTCCACAGATGGATGACAGATAATTTCCAATAGCTCATCATGTTTATCGAGAACGAAAGATGTTTGTCCACCATTTTGAATGATACTAACTGGAGTCAGGGTCATCAAGCCATGGAACAGTGGTTTATGAAAATAGATTGGGTTACTAAAGCTTGCCATGTTAAAGGCGATTGAACTATGTTATAGAACAACGTCCAGTACATTATAATATTTAAAAGTATAAATTTTTGAAAAAACATATAAAGGATCTTCGCCCGCATGACGTGTATTTTGAAAGCCTTGAGAAGAACGCAAATATGGGTAATGGGTAACGGTGTTGCAATAGTAGCATTTAAAAATCTGTTCCTCTCGAGATTTATGGTCTTCTGAAATTATACTATTAATTGGTGTTGCTGCATCATTGCTCAAATCTAGAGGAGTGTTGTTGCATCTTCGGTTTGGTGTTGTTGCATCACTAGTGAGGAACTAAAACCGTGAAGTTATTGCTTCTTGGTGATGGTACATGTATACTAATGACAGTTTCTTTAAATATAGATCGTGCGCTAACTGCACGTGTATGGTTATTGAGCAACTCGTCCTAGAAATGGGTTTAATTGGGGAAACAAAATATCGTACGAAAATCTATCACCGGAAGTCTGGCCATCTTGATGCAACAACACGGTGTTGTTGCATCACGATACTCCCCAGTGAAAGTCATAATAATCATATTTCACTTACAATGCTTTCTGCTGAGGCCATATACAGGTACCCAGGTGGCTTGCTACTGGGTTTCTTCAGGTCACCTAAAGGGGGCACAACTGTATTATGTTGAACCTTGGGAGATTTGGAAGAAATTTTCAGAGCTTTGACATTGTCCAGAAATTGTCTAGCTTCATGTTTCGATTTTCTAGATCTCAGTAACATATGGGGAGACATTTTGGGGTTAATTTTCAGACTTGTTGGTGGTTTTCTAACATTTGCTTTCTGTAATGTTTCAGCCTCACTCCCACTTTCTATAATACGAAGCATTGGTAAAACTTCAATTTCTGGGGAACTACTGGATCGGGATAATCTGCTTTTCCTGATAAATTCTGGTTCAAATTCATCATCGGGTTTAACTTCAGCCACAAAGTTATCTTGACCTTTCAGACTTGTTTGGTTCTGAACTGTTTTGGCCTTTGGTAAAGTATGGATACTTTGAGAGCAATGAGTATTCAATGAATCATTAGTATATGAGTCACTCTGGGTAATAGAGATATGACGGCCAGGTGACGGTGATTTTGAATGGCGTTTGTGTCTGCATGTTGGAGATTGACTCCTACTTTTAGTTTCATGTTCAAAATAGTTTTTTATATCTCTAACTTTTCCCATTGAGTCTGAATCTATGCTAGACACAGATGTAATGCTGCTGATGGAGCTACTTCGACTGCGGGACCGTGATCTGTCCAACATTGGTGGTGACTGGAAGGAACAGCTATCTGTACTAGTGGGTGAGTTTATTATACCACTATCCCCATGTGAGCTCCTAGATATATTCCCGCCTTCAAAGGGATCCATCTTACCACCCATGTACTTAGTCCCATCTCGAAATTTATCCATAATATCTGGAGTAGAATTGCCAGTTAGTGTTGAGTAGCCATCATCCTTACTACAGCACTTTTCATTGAGAAACAGCTCTGTACTTGACGTAGAAGAGTCCATGCTGCGAGGTTTTGTTGGATCAGATTTGTCAATCTTAGTGATGTGAACACTAGGAATGATATCTGAGTGATAACTGCTCCACAGTGGATGGCCATCTTTTTGAAAGGGGAGAGTAACCTCCATCTGTACAGACTCTACATTCATTACAGTGATATTGTGACCATTGGCCATGGCAGCTCCTTTCTTATTAGAGTCTTTAGTGTCCACATTTTCATTTAAATCTTTTGATTTTTCATTGTCGTTTTGTTGCGCATGTTGCTTTTTTACAGTGGCATCTGCTATTGATTTACTTAGCCTCTCTCTGATAAGCGCTTTATTAGGTTTAGGGGGACGAGGTGGGGGCTCCATACTGGGCTTTCTATCACGGCGGGGTGGGGTTGGGGGTGGAGTGTCATCTGCTGCCACCCTAGGTGGAGGTTGAGGCTGGTTAGAATCCTTATTGCTAAAATCATGGTTCATGTACGTTGCCATGGTTACTGTTGGTGTACGTTCAAATTGCTGATAATTGTCAATATTGTTAGAAATAACAGCCCTCTGCTCCTTTGGTGGATTATGCACAACGGCTATATGTTTATCTGGTTGAAGAAAGCTTTTCTCCTCATATTGGGGCTTATCCTTGTTTTCTGCTTCCTTCTCAACACTAAGTGAGCTGGGCCGTCTATGTTTTGGACTCATACTACAACTACTATTGGTACTTTGTGTATCCATGCTACTGTCTTTGCTCCTCGTTAAAGTACCTGTATCAGAAATTACTGAATCTGTCGATGTGATCATTAAATCATCCATGTTGACATCGCCATCTATTGTGACAGTTGTATCAGTACTGGATTGCATAGAGCATGTCTCGTCTTTCAGCGTATCTCGTGATGTGAAATCTTTGTTCTGCGAGGCCAGATCCGTAGTATCTTCGGTGAAACTGTCCCCGCTATCACTAGAGCTGTCTAAATCTTGCAATCTGCCTCGCTCTAGCAGATCATTGAGTGAAACTGATGAGGCCATGCTTAAATGTTTACGTTTAATATCATCACTATCTTCTTCTGATGAGTCACTAAACTTTGGACGGATCTCTGGTAAACCATCTTTAGTGTCTAGTAAGTATTTTTCATTGAACGAGTCATTTAATTTAAGAAGCTCTTGGCCTGGAGATATTGCCTTATTACGGTCAACTTTTTGGAAATGAACAGTGACATTTCTTGCTGCACCCTGCTCAAATTCTGATGGAAGTTCACGATATTTTTCGTCAAAAGAGTCGTTTAACTGAAGAAGCTGTTTGCCAGGAGATACAGAGAGAGAGGAACTGGTATTAAGTAGATGCGGGTCAAGTTTGGCAGCTTGGGATTCCCTACCATGGCTTGGGGATTCCCCATCGTTGCTAGGGGAATCTTCTTCTTTTTGAAGAGCTTTCTTGATTGGTTGAGCCTCTTGCTTGGGTTGGTTTAATGCTGTTAGACTAGAGAGCTGTGGAGTTGCAATTTGTTGATTGACAGTCGTTAAAGTTGTTGCTGATGTGGTAAATGTGGTTGTATCGGTGGTACTACCACTGGATGATTGATCTGTCATAACGTTACGTAGTTGCCGTAAATAAGCACCAATTGTGTCTACTTTCCCAGGGATGTCAGCAGGGATTTCCCGGGGAATTCCCTTTAAGGGAACTCCCACATGAATAAGTTTAGGGCTGCCCTGTGTTGCTGGAAACTCGGTTTGGATTCGACTTTGAGTTGTTACGGAAGAAACAGGCTTTATTGCACTAGTAAGTGAGACACACTGCTCAGATTTAGATTGGTCTGCCTTCTCAGTTGTGGACCTCTCATTGGGAAACTTAGCATCTGGAGTGATGGCAAATGAAAATTCCGAGCCATTTAGAGTCTTAGGGGTGCCTCCAGCTACCTCCATTGAACTATTGGGAGTATCATCGATCCCTTCATTCCCATCAAGTCCGGAAAGCGCAGTATTGACGGGAGATGAGGCAGCCTGTATTACACTAGGGTTAAATCCGCCTGGTACCGGCGCCCCAGGTGCCCCACCTTGTTGACCTCCACCAGAGGGCGCTCCAGTAATTGATGAAGCTGACCCGGAGCTGGAGACAGTGGGAAGGAAGTGCTGATCAAAATCTGGCATCTTAGGTGAAAAGTTGAGCTTGTCTCTTAGCCATGGGGGTGGGGAAGACATCTGCGGCACACCTCCACTCTCAAAGGCAAACTGAAATATATGAAAAAATGATTATCAAAGATCAGTCCATGACAATTATCATTCTACTATGTATTTTGTTAATTTAAATTATTTTGGAAGTGTCATTAATTTATAGTTTGTATACATGAGATATTAAAGTTTAACAATATAAGCAAATAAATTATATTGAAAGGACTTATATTTCTCTCGACTTCTATTTAAACGGTTCATTACTTGTATTAATCAATCTAACCTTACAATATATGTTGCACTGAACCTATCAAATATGCATGTCTTGTGAATAAACCCGTTTGATAAATCTCCTTTTATTTATTCTGAGCATAGTCTCTTAACTTGTAAAATCATAAAAAGCTTGCAATGTGCAGCATCAAGTACACCCCCAAAATGCAATCTTATTTTCAACGCCGTTTCAGTGCCAAATTTTGTTGCCGTTTCGGCACCAAATGGACTGACTAGTCCAGTGCCAAATTTTGGTGTCGAAAATTTTCGGTGCCGGAACGGTGCCGGAATAGCGCCGAATTTTTTCGATGCCGAAACGGCGCTGAATTATATTGGCTGTGTAGACACTGATACGAACACACATATATCTACTTGCATCAAAACTCACATTGCTATCATTGTAGTCACTACATATGCTGTGTAAAGAGTCTATGCTATCCTGAGAAAAGATGCCTCCACCCTGGGCCATGTTACCAGGGGCGTCCTGAGAAGGGTATGAATTGATTTGTTGCATGTTACCAGGAGTGTCCTGGGGGTAGGCCTGGGTGAGACTGTTAGGGCTCATACGGGTTTGTTTGTACTGGGGGTAAGACTGAGGGGGCTGGTATGAAAACTGAAAGGGAAAATTGTACTTTGAACATTGGAGTGAATATGTTGTACATATGTTATACATATATATGTCACCAAAAAATCCATCTATCACAAACATTTTTTATTTTATGACAAAACATTGAATGAAACCTGGCACATTAACTGACATAATATTCTACAGTAATTTCTATCTTAGATATGTCCGTGATAGTTGAACTTTTAAGGCTAGAACCAAATATTGCCAAACAGTTGAACATCCAATCCCATGTTGTTATACAGGGTGACCAGAAAAAAAGGAGACCATTGAAATAGGCAATATCTCCTAAAATAGACTAGTGACATCAATGAAATTTTGCATACATCAGGACAGTTCTATGGAAATTTGTTCCTGAAAGTGTCAATACAAGCAGTCAAATGGTTCAGGAGCTATGATCATTTACATAACATGCTCCAAATAGGCGCAATTGAGACCAACGCAGAGCTGGATACATTTGGCAAATACCCTTACATATTCCGACCTTGTTATGGCATTACATTTAGCATTTATTGCCACCTTTAGGTCAGCAATTGTCTCAGGATTGTTTTGGTACACATTGTCTTTCAAATTGCCCCACAAAAAGAAATCAGGTGGATTCAAATTTGAGGTGTATGGAGACGAAGCTTATCTGACCTATGGCTTCTGACTCAGTGGTCCCACTCAGTTACAGTATCATCCTAAGGAGGTTTTGGGCAGCCCTTGGTTTCCATATGGGATTTAATTGTGCCATATAGTGGTTTTAGTAACATGGCACTATGCCCAATACCTAAAGTGACTCTTAAGATTGGGTAAATCAGCACTTTGGCAACAGGATGATGAACCACATGTCAGATAACCCTTCATTGCCATTACAGCCTAGACTTGAATCCTGCTGATTTCTTTTTGTATGGATATTTGAAAGACAATCTATACCAAAACAATCCTCAGACTATTGTTGACCTAAAGAAGGCAATCACTGCTATATGTAATGCCATAATAATGCCATAGAGGGCAGAACATGTAAGGGTAGTTTGCCATATGAATCCAACTCTGCGTTGGTCTCAATTGTGCCTATTTGGAGCATGTTATGTAAATGATCATAGCTCCTGAACCAGTTGAATGCTTGTATTGAAACCTTCAGTAACAAATTTCCATATAACTGTTCCAGTGTATGCAAAATTTCATTGATGGCACTTGTCTAGTTTAGGAGAAATTGATTACTTCAATGGTCTCCTTTTTTTCCGGTCACCCTGTATATATGGCAAATTAATAAAATTTGGATTAGTGTTGACAAAAGGTACAGGTGGCATTACACTTTAAGCAATTATATATATGGTATATATTTATATGATACATATAGCACACAAACCTGAGATTGCACTGGAAGACTATGGTAGCTCCCCTCGTGACTTGACATGCCCCCTGACATACCACGACCCTCGGATCCGCCCCGACCTTTCTGTTTAGAATTATTATAGGATGGTAGCAGGGAATCTGACGAAAACTTAAGTCTCTGTTGAAACATCGCATTCAGTTGTCTGTTTTGAAACTCAAGGTCGTGTACCCGAGTTTGAAGTTTCATGCACTCCTCCCGAAGACCTTTCTGTGTCAAAAGAGCTTGGACAACCTAGAACAGTGTGAGAGTTCAGTTCATGAATTATACATTTATTCAAATGCAGTAAAGTAGTGACATAGGTCGCTGCCTAGCGCAGTGAGAGAGAGAAATAACAAATTTGCTGATAGGATGTGTTTACAGCTTAAATCACACACGGAACATGGTCCCTGAAATTACTAATAAATTCAATGTCCCAGGGATTTCACTAGAATTTCTCACAACTGGCTAAATAAATGAAAACAACAGGCAAAATTAATGGAAATCATAAATTTGACATGGAAAAGTCCCTAAAAACAACAGGCGATTTTGTGAAAACAACTGGTGAAAATCGCATGTTGCCTGCTGCTAGTGAAACCACTGTGTCCTAAATACACCATCATATTCAGGAAGCAACAAGTAATTTACAAGAGATGGGTGTCTATTCTAATGCAATGGTAATGTAATTTTGATGATAATGTGACACATAGCATTACCACTAAGTCATCATAATCAAGCAATGACAAGTAATTTGTCTTCAATGTGTTATTTCAATGGTGACATATGATGACATAAAATTCCAATATATCCATTCAGAATCAAAAATATTAAACAACAAAAATGATGTAAATGTTAATATACAGTACATATCAATGAAATAAATAAAAAATAGTGAACAATAAAATCAAGCGGCAGTGTCAAGGCCAATTCCTACTTAATTTAAGGAGGATTTATGTGGATGCACCGTAAAAACCACACAAAATCAACATAGAAGAAAACAAAGAAGATAAAAATGCCATAAATAAGACTCATCATGAATGATTAAATGTTGATAAACAAGGACGATGTGAGTTGAGAAAATAGCGCTGTAAATTACCTGGTTAGCTATTTGATCAAGGCACTTCTCGTATTGTTGTCTTTGTTGTTCATTTTCTAAGACGAGGGATGAGTTCTCAGCTTCCAGTTGTTTCAATCGTTCCAGTAGAACTTTGGATTTATCGCTATCCTCAGATTTGCTTAGTGGCTGAAATCAGGGAGGTGGAATATATTCTCAGTGATGAAGTGAAGGATTATTGTAGCTCATTTCAGTATGGTTAACCCCTACCCCTCCATCCTCTCGGCCCATGTTTCACTTAGTAATAAAAGCATCTTGAATTTAAATTTAAAATCAAAATGCTGACATTTGGACACCATTCCATTGCAAAGAATTCAATTGATTTTCCAACATAAATTAGTATTTAAAACATCTTACTATAATGCATTATATTACCCTTTCTTGAAAGTTAAGATTTTCTTCCTAACTTATTTATGAAACAGGTTGTCACCAAAATGTACAATTGACAATAAAATGACGATTTCAAAGTAATATTTTGAAAGATATTCCAACTTGCTTTGATTTTTCTTGACACCATAGCAGTATCAATCTCTGAATCATACATGCATGTTTAATTGTAATGGCAACGACATGCATTTGAGTTAGACATCCTTTCGTACAGTACGTTCAATAAATCTACCAGTCCTCACATGGGGGATGTAAAGGAGGGGTATTGTACATTATATTTGGCCAAGGATGCATTTTAGTCTAGTACTAAGCCATACACATTTGCAAAGAGTTTCATTCAGTAAGTAATTCTTGTCAACGGTCAAACTGTTAGTATTCCTAAATACCACTGCACCACCTATTGTCAGAATACGAAAGTAATGCAAAGTTTACAATGAAGAATTTTGTGGCTCTGTGTGTTTTTTATATAAGCTGCAAGTCTAAATTTCAAGCTCCTGTAAGTCTCTTATTCCTTGCAAAATAAGCAAATTGACAGCACAATTCATATTCAATGAAATAGCCTCAAAAGTCAGATGACTTGAAAATGACAAAATACATTGCCATAAACATGTTAGATTCATACAGGGGTTTACATTAGTAAAACACCAGAACAAAACATAAATAAGTGAGTGATTGCAAAAGCTCACCATGTGAAAAGTAGAAATCACTCTGAAACGTACATGCATGTCCATGAACACTAGCATGACATTTACTTTATTGTGAGTTGGACTGATGTAAGCAAAAGGGTAGTGGTATGTGGGGAGGGAATGAACAAACTGAGCATGCTTCCATATATGGGGTACCTGAGACCTGTCTAGTACCCCTGGTTGAACCCTATCTAAGACACCTTGTTGAACCCTCTCTAGATACTTCCCATCCTTAACAAATATAATAGACCAATTAAGGGCTTGTTCAATTATGAATAAGTCATTTTTACATAAAAGTAATGCTATTTAGAATGAATGGTTAAAATTCAATTTTCATTTTAGCTAAAACACATTGAGGTTGAAATGGGTGATACTGTTATGTAAATGTCATTTAATTATCCAAAAACTTAAAAATCATAATTACACAAGAATGCAACAGCAAAAAAGCAAATGTTTCCAATAATAACAAAGGAGGTTTATGTATCCCAGTTGCCTTACCATTTGTCCCTGAGATGCATCTGACTCCATCTTTTTGAGTTCTGTGATGAGCAGCATATTCTCATGTTCTAAATTACTGATGTGGCTCCTACACTTGGTGATGCTGTTCTATAAAACAATATAAATGTGTATTAAATATCTATAGTTATACAATTTCATTGGTGTCGATGGGAAAGTAGCTGAGCTTTACAAATAGCCTGCTTTTATATATTACCATGACAACCTTGTCATGTCAATGAATCCTACATTTTACATTGAAACATTTATACTCTACTTCTTACATAAAACAAAAGCCTCGTTACATAATTTCCATTTAAATAGTCCCAATAGTTCTGTATGGAATTGATGACTATGAAGTCAAAAAGGTTTATTTAATCATCAATTCATTGTCAATTATGCAATTAAGCAATTATGTTATAAATGATGGATTACCGCATTTGACACTGTTTCTGTCAAACTAAACTACGATCTGTAGGGAAATAAATTGAACATTTTAAAAACTACTCAAGTAATAATATTGTTGATGGTATCGTATGTCTTTAATCTTATATAATATCTTATATTATCTTATGAAAATATGACCCCAAATGCAGATCAATTTGTCGCAACTTTCAAGTCATCGACTTCACAACTCTGGTAACATGATCTTTCATCTTTGCAAAATGGTCTGAAAAATTTCTTCAATGTATCCACTAATAATTATCAACATTTGGATATCTGCAATCTGATTGGTGCAGCATAATAAATAGCTGTCCGTGAACCAATCAAATTGCAGTTATCATTGCGGCATAGCAAAACTCTATTGACTTACTTCATATGTACTGGCAAGTTTCTGTTTTTCTGATTTCAGTTGATCAACTTTAGTTTTGTAGGTCAACATTCCCCTAACCATGTCTTCCATCCTACAAGAGAACACAAACACTTTTTGAATCATTTACTTTATTTTAGAACTTAATTTTTACATATCCCATTAAAAATCATTTTTATACAGACAATCTCCAACAGTATAGTACGGTACTGTTTTGGCTGCAATACTGTATGGTGCCATAAAATATGGTACCACACTATACCGTAGACTGAAAGGGTATTATACGGTACTGGGAACACAGTATGGCACTATTCTTGAACAGTGCCGTATATGGTACCATACTCTTAATGTACCATACAGTACCGTTATTTCAGAGTGTGGATTAGGGGTGTTTACTTTCACCAGTTTCCCTTCTTATTACTATGCATCTAGTTGATCTCTCTTAGAGTAAAAATTCCATATTTACATATGCTTTAGGTCACTTTGTTCTCTAATTCCTTAAATAAATATAGAAACACAGACAGTTGACTCTTCAAAGCAATTATTTAAATCTTGCGCATGATGGATCACCAGAGCGGGTAACACATGTTGAGATCTCAGGATGCTAGTTGATATGTCATGACAAAAGTTCGGGAATTTATGAATACAGAAAGAGCTGATCCTCCTCACAGGAGAAGCAGATTGACATATTGAGCAAGTGAACAACTTAAAGACGAGCAACTACATCGTAATATCACATGACTTCATTGAGGGTCGCAAAAAAAAGGCATTACATGACAGAATATAGCAAACTAGTAAGTTATATTGTAAAAGTGTAACTATCAATTTATTACAGATAAACCCAACCAAGCTTTAGATGCTAGTAACAAAAAACCGTGGCTAAAACAATAAATTATGTAACCACATTCTCCCTAATAAACATACAGTGCTTCTCCCAAATTCTCCTGTAGGAGATGTCTTAAATTACAAAGTAAGTGTGTCTATTTGAGAGAACACAATACTCCTTGATGGTGTCGTAAAAACGACCTAACAAGCATGACATACTTGTGAAATTCTTCCTGAAGATGTTGAAGTCTCTTCTGGCAGTCACTCTCCACGGTCATCTCTTGGACCCGCTGTTCCGCCTCTACACGCAGCATCCTCTCACGCTCCAACTCTTTCATCAATCCGTCACGCTTAAACACATCAAATCAGTTGCCATTGAGATTACTTAATCACAAATCAAACATTGCTTGGTTGAGGTTCCATTGAATCTACAAGAGGCAGTGAACTTCAACAACTACGTTTACAAAAGCAACTAATAATAACTTTGATGGAGCAAATGGGTTGAGGGTGAATAGTCTAAAGAGTAACATGTATCTGTAGTTGTAGATACAAAAATAATGCAACTACCGTATCATTATAATATAGAATAGCTGCATATGCCAGTCTACCATGAATGATATTATAAAGGGATTTTATTCTTTGGTCTTTAACAAAAGAAACTGATTGAGACTTAATCAACTCAAGGGGGTCTGAATTGAGGCAGATAAGGCAGTTAAATTTTGGAAAATTTTATCCGACAGAACTGCAACATCATCTTTCTTTGGGTCCACATTTAGCCCAACCTAGTTAAATTTGCCATGTTTATTCTTGGATCCTGATTACGCCCTTACATTTAAAGACAAGGCATTAACATGCAAAATGTCACTGCCTGCCATTTGTTGCCAGATGCTGAATGCCAAACACCAACTACTGAACATCAACCACTGAACACCGTCCACAAAAAAGTTGGAGACCATAACAATATGTCACCACTTGTAGTATTGACATAAAAAAATATCTAGAGATTTAAACTGCACTGATTGAACAGCTTGTCGTATTTCCACCTACAACGATCCCACGATATCAAAAGAGAATTATTATGATTTCAGGATTTAGAACCCCCATCAATCATCAACTTTCATGGGAACCAGATCTGCCGTATAGATTAAATTAGGATTCAATCAAGTGAAACAATATATCCCTGTTTCATATCACATAATTCATATCTTACATAAACCAGGACACATTTTAATTGCTTTTTCTGGTAGTAGATCCTATTGATAACATAATGTGCAAAATAAAATACCATTGATGTTGTTTTCTACTTAAGATTAGAACCTTATCAATGTATTTTCCAGCTCTATCAAAATACCTTAAATCTGACTTTCAACAAAATGGGAAATTTCACCGTTTCAGATTATAGGCTGTACCTCTCTATCACTAATCACTATGAATTTCCAACAAATTGAAATAAATCTTTTAACTAATTTCCATTTCTAAGATATACCAGTACGAAAACAAACAGCTCAAAAATGTGTTTTGCATCTAGCCTCCTTTTTACCCATCAATACTTGCCAATGTACCGATCCTGTTATGTAAAAAATTAGACTACATTTCTACGCAATTTACTACAGATATTGACGCAAGAAAATTGCGTTGATAATTGCAGTATTTTTGGCGCCAACTTTCCATCACCATCAACAGAACCAACAGTGATTGTATCTTTTCAATTTCAGGCACATTTACGGAACTTCACAAGTTCAATCTTACGCTGTAGACGTTAGCAAGAGCAAAATCATCAATTCATCCAGCTCATCAATTTGCACAAAGAAAATGCATTTTTACGTGTGAAATACGAGCTTAAGAACTCCTTTATTGTGTTGACAATTCACACCTCTGGTGTCTCAGATTAATCCACTGTAAACATGTTAATGAGATTAAGGGTAGTCTTTACACAATGACACATCCTTTTAACTGATCACTATGGATATAGATAATCCATAAATCATATCTTTTTATCCCTGTTCTTTGTTTCCAAAATTGACGTTATTTCTGGATGTATGACGTTGTTATTCTAACCAAACAAAGAGCTTTAATAGAAGAAAATCATCTTAATTTACAAAGTTCAAGCTTCTCTGACTTGGAAGTCGAAGATGGAACAAAAGCTGTAATGTTCGATGTGAAACATACAACATTAACAAGACATTAACATGCACAATGTTACCACTTGCAATTTGTTACACATGTCAACCACCGAATGCCAAATGCCAAACACCAGCCACCAACTGCTGAATGCCAAACACCATAAGAATATGTCACCACCATATAAGTAAGCTGTCCATCTTAATTAATTTAATCAACAGGAAATAAATTTTAACAAAATATTTAACAATGTTTGTTTTAAATCTATGTTATTCAAGATGAAGGCTACAATGTTAACTGTCAATTTTACTTACAGATACTTCACTATGTTAAGGTGATGCATATAATCCTATTATCTTGGCTAATGGTTGCATGTTCAAACAATTGTCAACATGGACATCATTATATCATTTTCTACTATCTTACACACTGTCATCAAACAAAACCTCCAATTGGTGTTCGGATTAATCCAGGGAAAATATGTAATCCTCGTTAGGTAATCCACGTGCCACTTATCCACTAGATTAACCAAAACACTAATAAAAAACCTAGAAGTCATTAAGTACTATTTACCAAGTCATATCAGGACATTGTCAGACTCTTGGAGGTTAAACAATGAAATATTTGAGTTTCATATGAGAAAATCCTCAAAACGCATACTTTTCTAAGATTTGATTGCATTCATTATCAACAATGACAAAAGTGCTTGATATCTTCCCTATTAAGTGATAATTAGATGAGCGAATGTATTGTTAAATAAGGACCTATGTAATGAAAGTCTAAAGAGTGTTATTTATTGCTTCATTAATAGCTAATCATCAGATGATACAAAACCTAATGTCAACAACCAATTCATCAATTTAGCTACATGAGAGTTTGTACTTAATTTGAAACCCAATGTTACTTTATATGGGGGTTACATATTGCAACCCAGGGATATAATATTTGGGTTTATATTATGTAATCCAGGGAGGCAGTATATGGAGATAAAATTCCGTAAAACCCAGACACATGATACAAGGGGGTAATATAGAGTCTGAAACAAAAGATATAATTTTCTGCAAACCAGGGACACAATATGTGGGGATTACATTTTGCAGGTCAGGAACAAGATGGCTCAAGATGTATGGCTGGAATAACATTCTACAATCCAGGAACATAATCTATGGGTGTTACATTCTGCAAGCCAGGGACACAATATGTGGGGTTACATTCTGCAATACAGGGACACAATATGTGGGGTTACATTCTGCAAGCCAGGGACACAATATGTGGGGTTACATTCTGCAAGCCAGGGACACAATATGTGGGGTTACATTCTGCAAGCCAGGGACACAATATGTGGGGTTACTTTCTGCAATAGGAACATAATATGTGGGAGTTACATTCTGTAACCTGGAGGAGAAACAAAGTCAAATTTAGTCAACTCAGCTCCTTACGTTCAAATAAGATACAAAATGGATGTGTTACAAACCAAAATATAATACCAGTGTAATTCAAAATCCTCCTGAATTGAACAGAGATATAGATAGTCTAGTCTAATTGCTTAAGACCCTGGACCTCCCTTCCCTCATCTACTGGTGAAGGTGAAGCACATAAGGGGGCGGGGGGGGGGGGTGGTACACAGTCTTGTAGCAAGAGTTGATTCTGATCTGAAAAATTTCAAGTTCCCTTGTTACTTCAGGCTTTGGGGAGGGCTGATCAGATCTTTATCAATGAAGGTTACATATGTACAAAGTATGAGCACACCATGAACTCCATTGAAGGTGAACTTGGTATAGGCTTTAACTCCAATTGATTACTACAGTAAAACCTCTGAATGTGAACACATCTCTGAAATGAACACTTTTTAAATATGAACACATTTGTGACATCATTTATCGATTTCTTATGGACTCATATCTTATCGAACATTATAATGTAAAACCCCCTAATGAAAACACATTTAGTCTGTTCAAGTAGTTTACTTCAGCTATTAGTTTTACTGTAGTTTGCTATAAAGCACAGAGGCACCCTGACATTGCAGCTGCCATATTGAGGACTAAGAAAGGCTCTTAAACTGGCAAGATTACATCAATAACAAAGCATGGTGATAACTGATGTTGAGATTGATCCAGGGAAAATATGAAGTACAGTAAACATGTCCTAGCGAACACCTTTCTCTAGTGAACACCTGTGTTTAATGAACACCACCTCAAGGCACATTTAACATTGACTAGCAAAAAATTAAATACCCTCTCTGTAATGAACACCTACCTACCTACAGTGAACACTTTTTGGCTCAATAGGTGTTCACTATTTACAGGTTTTACTGTATATTTCTCAACCACAATACATGACCCATTTATGTCAAGAGTAATGAAATAGTGAAGATGATCAAAGCTTGTTTCCATGACCATGATTAGATCTCTATATCTTTCATTGGATAACTAACAATCAAAAATAAATTATTGGCCAATTTTAGATAAGGATCTCTCATTTGCTGGAACTCTCTATGTATGAGGCATTGAGATCTTATCTCCTGGCAGAACATGACCTTGACCTTGCACTATTACACAATGAGCAACATTCATAAATGCAAAGCTGAAATTCTTGTTCATTTTCAAAGACAATGGGAAGTTACTTTCCAAATGGATGATTTGAAAAATATCTGATATTCTTCTTCAGGAGCTGATGGTCCTTTATCAGCTTTTAAGAAGATAAAGATTTTATCTTTATATCAAATTAATGTAATAGTAAGTTAATATATATCTAGAGTTAATATATATCTTTATTTTCATTGATGGCTACATACTTCAGCATGGCATCAACGCATAACCTCACAAAATATACACATCTGCAAGATCGTGGGATGAAAAAAGAAGATAAAAAACCTCCGCCTTCTAAAAGAAAAGAAAAAAATAGATTTATATTTCATATCTTAGACTGCACTGACAAATGAGAAGGATGTGTCTATAACTGGAGCCAACTAATGGACATTTAAACCAGCCTGATGTTTGAAGTTGTCTGCATCGTATTGCTTCCACACTCCCTTGATGCGCAAGTATTGGCAAATGTGCAGGTTATTTAGGTAGTATTTGATATTAGGCAGGGGATCTGTGTTTCTCAGTTCATCTTCATATATTAACTTCATTTTATAAGGTGATTCAACATTTAGGTATGCTCTCCCCAGAATTTTTCTTCATCTCATTCTCAAATTTTGATTTTAAATATTTAAACAAGTCCGGAA